GGGGGGGGTAGAGGGTAGGTTGTCATCTCTTTTCAATATTGGGCTGCAGAAGGGTGTTGTGGGGTATCTCAGTACAGTGTTGGGTTGTAGTAGTGTTTTGGGGTGTCAGCTGTCACCTCTCCAGTTTTGAGGTGCAGTAGGGTGTTGTAAGGGGAAGTAAGGTTGTGTAGGGTGCTCTGCAGGGTGCAGTAGGGTGTTATGGGGTATCTCAGTAGGATGCTGGGTTGTAGTAGGATGTTGGGGTGTCAGCTGTCGCTTCTCTCCAGTGTTGGGGTACAGTAGGAAGTAGAAGGATGCAGTGGGGTGTAGTAGGGTGTCATGGGGTATCTCAGGAGGGTGTTGGGTTGTAGCATGGTGTTGGGGTTTCAGCTGTCACCTCTCTCCAGTGTTGGGGTGCAGTAGAGTGTCATGGGATATCTCAGGAGGGTGTTGGGGCATAGCATGGTGTTGGGGTGTCAGCTATCTTCTTTCTCCAGTGTTGGGGTGCAGCAGGGTGTTATGGGTATCCCAGGAGGGTATTGGGGTGTCAGCTATCACCTCTCTCCAGTGTTGGGGTGCAGTGTGTCATGTGGAGGGTATTGGGGTGTAGCAGAATGTTGAGGTGTCAGCTCTCACCTCTCTCCAGTGTTTTATCTTCCTAAGCAGAAAATATTAGGCAAGAAGCTCATTTCTGCTGCGCATGCGCGGTGTCAGGCAGCCGGGCATCGCACAGATCGAACTCTTTACATTCCGCGCATGCGCTCCAATGCCCCAACGCCTCGAATAACCACTGTACCGTGACGGACGCTGTCTACACTGCGCCTGCGCGCCACGTCCTGTGATGGAGTCTAGCGCGGCCATATTTACTATGGGCAAACCGCTGCTTAAAGACCGGCAGAGTGTGGGCAGATTTTATACAGTGTCTGTCAAGCTGGACATAGAAGATGTGGGGTAATCACACTAGGCTCTGCTTACTGTCCTTCTATTTTGTTGCCAATGTAATGCCACAATTGCCACTTTGTTGCCAACAATCACCAGTATGTTTTCCACATTTGTTGCCAACATATTGCCAGTGAATGTCCATGGTTGACCACAATTGTGCATCGCCATGATTGGTCATATGTCACCAGACAACGCTGATATTATTTGCATTGAACACTGCCATGTATTATGGAACCTGAATTCAAGGCTTGGTGCTGCCACCTCCATGTAGGGTTGCCACCTGTCCAGGATTCACCTGGACAGTCCGGGTTCTGAATGCTGTGTCCAGGTTTTTTAATGGCAGCAGAAACCCGGACACAAGATGTAAGGCAGACAGGGGCAACCAAAATTAAGATAGGGGCTACTGGCCCCCCACTGAAATTAGTCTCAACAGTGATATTTACATATGAATAAGCCACAACTCATTCTCCCAAAAAAATGTGCGCGTGTCGCTAGAGTGTTCGGGTTTTGCTTGAAGAAATGGTGGCAACCCTACTCCATGAAGACTTAATCCTACTGTCCCGGAGGATCGCACTCCTGGCCGGACAAAAACCCAAATCCAACTGGGTGGGTGTGGTGGTGACAACGGATGCCTCCGTGAAATGTAGATAGATGAAAGTAGTCACTCGCACTCCATTTTAAAGTCAATGCTGTTTATTGACTGAGATAACACACATCGCCTTAGCGACGTTTCGAGACCATGCGTCCCCGTCGCTAAGGAGATGTGTGTTATCTCAGTCAATAAACAGCATTGACTTTAAAATCATGGAGTGCGAGTGACTACTTTCATCTATCTACTCCATGAAGAGTCTCAAGGGGTTCCACAATACCCAGCTATGCTAATGCCCTTGGCAGGTGTTTAATACAGATACAGTCTACAATACTTTCTGGTATTTACTGCTGTCCAGGGCTCCATTAAAAGGATTTCCCCTCACTTCCTGTGCTGGTGACAACGATGCCACCATTTCTCGGAAAACAATACCAGGCCATAGGATCTCTTTTGTAATAATAACATTGACAACAACTCTGATTTTCATTGGCTAGTCCAGTATAATGCCGGCCGTGAGTCACCTCTAACTCTGGTGTTAAGGGAAGACTACAACCCTTGTCAGATTTTTATTGCCGTCTGTGTTCCTGTTGCAGATTTTCCCTGACGTCTAAGGATGAGCTTTAGATTTGGGTCGACCATGAACTCCGCCTGAAGCCAAGCTGTTCGCCAAACAATTTGCCAGTTCCCACCTGCCGAACCTCCGTCTGTATCCTAGCAACCAATGGCATTGTGCGTCGTGCAGCTTTAGGGGATCGCTCTACATTATAGACTATAATATGGCTAATGGTTTGACCTGACCATCACACCTATATAAGCTTTTTAGGCATCCCATCCCAAAACCATGGATATTCATTTAGAGTCGCTCCCCCCCTTCCCTTTGTAAAGACGTTCCATAAGATTTTGGGGTGTGTCTGGGGGACTTTGTGGACATTCAACCAAAAGAGCCTTTGTGGGGTCAGGTACTGATGTTGGGTGAGAAGACCCGGCTCGAACATTCCAATTCATGCCAAAGGTGTCCATTGGAGGTCCAGTAGAGTTGAGTTGGGCTCTGTGCGGGCCACTCGAATTCATCCACCCCAAACTGGTCAACCTATGTCTTCAAGGAGCTGGTTTTGTACACAGGGGACAGTCATGGTGGAACAGAAGAGGACCTTCACCAAATTGCAGGACACTTCAGACACACATCCTCCACATCAAACTGGAGGATGTGTCAGTGCAATCAGTGTTCCAATTCATACCAAAGGTGCTCAGTAGGGTTGAGGTCAGAGCTCTGCAGGACACTCAAGTTCCTCCACAACAAAGTGGTCAGACCATGTCCTTATGGAGCTGGCTTTGTACACAGGGGACAGTCATATTGGGACAGAAAAGAAACTTCCTTAAAGGAGAACTATGGGGTCAGGGCTTTTCCCCATAGTTCTCCTATGGGTTACGGGAGAACACAAACTAGCGTCCTCCCGTCACCCAAAGGTCAGTATACCGCGAGCTATCCTCATAATTCTCATTTAAACGACAAGGTTGGAAGAGGACAATTGTCTGACATGTCTTTGTATGCTGTAGTATTTACAGACCCCTCCACTGGAAATGCCCTCCTACCCTTTTTTGCAGCTATATAAATCTTCACTCTTCTAGAATGGCTTTCCACAAGATTTTGGGGTGTATGTAGGGGGGGTGTATTTGTGCCCATTTGTGAGGTAAGGTACTGATGTTGGAGAAGACCCGGCTCACAATCCATGTTCCAATTCATCCCAGAGGTGTTCAGTAGGGTTGAGGTCAGGGCTCTGTGGAGGACACTCGAGTTCCTCCACACCAAACAACTAGTCCAACCATGTCCGCTCCCGGATGACACCATTGGAGAGGGTGTCACCCCCTTTGAAAAGCCAGGCACTCAGTAATGGACCGAGTGCCTGACAGCTATAGGAGAAAGAGGAGGGGACCCAGTGGTATATCTTAACCCCCCCCCGCCCCCCCCCCCGGGTGAACGTCCTCTCCTCTTTCTGCTTGCGTCGAACGCCAAGATGGCTGGTGGCAGGTAACAGCACGTGACGTCACGGCGGGCTGTCACCCCATGGCCGCCCCAGGTGACACCATGGCTCGAGATGCCCCTGATTTATGATACAAATGATCCGTTCGATGTGATAATTTCACTTGACAAGGTGGGATTAAAACTAGGGATGCACCGATACCGTTTTCCTGGTATCGAGTACGAGTAACGATATTTGTTTTCTGGTACTCGCCGATACATAATACCGATACCGGAAGGCCCATTGGGGAAGCCGGGCGGCCTGTAATGACTCGCCGTCCGGCTTCCTGATTAGCTGGGAAACCGTCTCCATGCTCCCTCATCACCAGGTGACAAGGAAGCATGGAGCTGGCTTTCTGGCCAATCTGGAAGCCGGGGGGCGGGTAACGACTCGCCGCCCCACTTCTTGATTGTCCAGCTTCTCTCAACCATTACCCACCCCCGGCTTCCTGATTTGCCGGGAAGTCAGCTCCATGCTCCCTGTTGACTAGGGATCGGGTTAGTCATCAGGAGCATTTGGGCGAGTACCAGTACTGGTATCGGCGCATCCCTAATCAAAACATTTTGAAACAAGTGTATCTACCAAAATAAATCAAGGCAACTGGACTTGTTGTATTTTTCTTGGTTTACTGTGGCAGGGACCGACTGGTCAGGATCATTTGCACATGTGTGGTGCCCTCCGGTGGCAGGGTATGTGTATACACGGCTCGGTAAAAGGATTTGCAGAATTGTTTTATTAGAAAGAAAGAAATGTTTTCCCGAGAAGACGTAACAGACATGCGTCGTATAAATAAGGACAGAGCTCTACATGTAGTACATAATGGATCAATGCGTTAGAGTGCGCCTCTACTTGGCTCACACTGGGAAGAGTAACAGGTACACTTTACCATAGGGACCCTTCAGCTTCCCCTGTGATACTCCTATGCTTACCCACAATGCCCAATACTGGAGCGGCCCAACGCCGAGCACTGTAATGGGGGTGTCGAGCTCGGCACATATTTATATATATTTACTGTATACACCCGGTGTGATTCGAGTGCTCAGAAGCCTTCATATTTATTGGCACGGATCAGTATTTTTGTTATCGTGGTGATGGGGTGCCCACTCACGGATTCTGACCACACCCCACTACAGCAAATGCGTTGGATGTTCTGTGTTGTCATTTGTGGACTGTTTTTGGACTCTCTGGGGGAAAATGTATCAAAACTGGAGCAGTTGCCCATGGCAACCGATCACCAAAGCCGTAGCCAGCTCCTTTTGCACCCGAGGCAAGAACAGAAAATTGTGCCCCCCCCCCAACAGACGTGTGATGTCACCCAACGCTGCACACACGAGGCATCATGTGACGGCATACGCCCCGCCTCCAGGATGACGGCGCACATGTGCAAAATGCGCTGGTGGGCAAATCCAAAATAGCATAAAAATGTGTTTAGTTTGACAAAACTAATGAAAACATTTTTAGTTTCTGTTCATTTTGCCAAATTTTTAGTCTTTGCACATGTCTAATAGTATGTGTGCATGAGTGTGCGTGGGTTTTTTTTAATCATTATTATTTTTGACAGCTCCCTCCTCCGCCCCAAAAGACCCCCCGTCGCTGCTTCTGCCCAGAGCAGCGGGGGATCCGAGGAGAAGCTGGAGCCTGTGACGCCCCTCTTCTCCCTGCTGAGCCAAAGCTGTTGGCCACCTGGAGTCCCTGTTGCCATGGCGCCCTGTGCTCGCCATGGCAACAGGAGCGAGGGGGCACAACCAGGCCGGCCCCTGGCTGCACCCCCTCTCAGCTGCGCCTGAGGCGAGTGTCTCACTCGCCCCATGGTAGCTACAGCCCCGCCGATCACCTTCTCTCTTCAGTTTGCTCAGGTAAGATTTGAACATGAGACAGAGAAGCTGATTGGTTGCAGTGCAAAGCGGCTCCAGATTTTGTCTGCTCCGGTTTTGATAAATTCCCCCCTCTGACTTTTTGTTTGGCGCTCTCATTAGACCTTATACACAAAAATCTTCACCTTTGGCTCCCCTTGTTTTTCGGGACACCTAACTTTTGATGTGTGGCCTCACCTGAGCCATTGTGGTTTATCGCTTTCTGACCCAACTTCCGTTAATTTGAACCCAACGCCTCGCCTCTGGGAGTCAGAAGGGAGCGTGCGCTCTCCTGTGTACGTTTCAACTTGCTTAATGGCCCCCAGCCAATGTTTGAAAAGAAGAAGCAGTTCTGACTCCAGTATTCCCCTTCTCCTCCTTTCCAGCACCGTCCCCGGAACTCCTCCGTCATGTCCAGCATTACCCAGCCTAGAGGACTGAAGACATACCTTAAAACTACAATATCTGAAGGGTCAGCCTACCCAAAAGTGATATTTCAGTTGTAATTGGGGTATGGTGAGCAGGATCATCCCCTGGCTCCCTATGGGTCCTGGATACTCCAACAGTGAGATCTTCCTCTCATAACTACTCTGATCACCTGGAAGTGTTGGGTGTCTCCAATCACATCTGAATGTTGCAGCTCCTCCTGTTACATTCATAATATAAAAATCCAGCAGGGATAGTGGGCGCTCCTCATAATGGGCACAGCGGGTGTACAGACCCGGGAACTCAGCACAGGGATGGGGGGAGCTCCTCATAATGGGCACAGCGGGTGTACAGACCCGGGAACTCAGCACAGGGATGGTGGGAGCCCCTCATAATGGGCACAGCGGGTGTACAGACCCGGGAACTCAGCACAGGGATGGTGGGAGCTCCTCATAATGGGCACAGGTGTACAGACCCGGGAACTCAGCACAGGGATGGGGGGAGCTCCTCATAAGGGGTACAGACCCGGGAACTCAGCTCAGGGATAGTGGGCGCTCCTCATAATGGGCACAGAAGGTGTACAGACCCGGGAACTCAGCTCAGGGATGGTGGGAGCTCCTCATAATGGGCACAGCAGTGTTAACAGAACAGAATTGTCTGGATCCGTTTCAGCTGCAGCGCTATACTGAGCTTAGGGTGACGGGAGGACGCTAGTTTGTGTCCTCCCGTTACCCTAAGGAGAACTAAGGGGGAAAAGCCCTAAACCCATAGTTCTCCTTTAAAAGGAGAACTATGAGGGGGGGTGCTTTCCACTCACCTCATAGTTCTAGCCGACCGGTGGCAATGAGACTGTCACAGGTCGGCTCAGTAGATCGGGAGGTGAGCGAACACATACCGGCGTTCGCTCACCTCTCGGTCCTGTTACAGCTCTCTGCCGTGACAGGGGAGGGGCTGGATTCCCCCCGCTCCGATCCGCCAGCGCTGACTGGCGGGAACGGATGGGGGAGGGGCGGGTACAGCTGGCTCTGCCTCTAGATAGGCAGAGCCAGCGGTCACTCACGCAGTTGGGTGGATCCAGACATAATTGTCGAGATTCGTTTCAGTTGCGGCGTCTCACTATATAGGGAGCTGTAGCTCACGGTATACTGAGCTTAGGGTGACGGGAGGATGCTAGTTTGTGTCCTCCCGTTACCCTAAGGAGAACTATGGGGAAAAGCCTTAACCTCACAGTTCTCCGTTTAACAAAGCATTGCCAAGTGTATGGCCAGCATAACAACCAATCACAATGCTCAACCCAAAGCCCACCTACAGCTTGATGTACAATACACACCAGAACGCCTAAGCCAAATCCAACTGACATAGAAATACCATTAATGGATAGGCTGACCCTTTAAGACCCATTTTAATTAGTCTTCAGCAAATCAAGTGCTACTTGGCTGTGGCCTAGGGATGAACCTAGGTATCCAGACACAATACCAGCACCACATGGCCACTTGTATCCGAGTCTGCTGTCTGAGAACTCAAGTTCGCCGTCTAACTACTGCTCTACAAGAATGACGCCCGTTACAACAGGCGGAGGGACGGTCTGCTCGCTGACCTCGTGTGTCTTCACGTGGACCTTCAGCTGATAGTTGATGCTGAAGCTGCGCGGACAGCGGCTACATTTGTAAGGTCGCTCCCCGCTGTGACCCCGGAGGTGGATCTTCAGCGTGTAGGCCTTGGTGAAGCTTTTCTCGCACACCTCGCACTTGTACGGCCTGGCCCCCAGGTGGCTTCTCCGGTGCTCGACGAAAGAGGAGCAGTCGCTGAATGCCCGCTCGCACTGGCTGCACTTGTAAGGCCGCTCGCCGGTGTGAATTCGTCTGTGCACGGTGAGGTGGGACTTCTCCCGGAAGGTCTTGCTGCAGACAGTGCAGAGGTAGGGCTTGGCACCCGAGTGGATGCGCCGATGGCGCACCATCGAGGAGTAGTCGCTAAAGCTCTTGGCGCACTCGGTGCACTGGTAAGGCCGCTCTCCGGAGTGAGTCCTCTTGTGGACGCGGAGGTGGGACGTGACACTGAAGCTCTTGGGGCACTCCGGACACTGGTAAGGGCGCTCTCCGCTGTGAATGCGCTTGTGTACGGTCAGCAGGTTGTTCTTGGAGAAGGCTTTGTGGCATTCGTCGCACTGGTAAGGCTTTTCTCCTGAGTGGACTCTGAGGTGGACCTTCAGGCTGTAGGACTTGCTAAAGCTCTTCTCGCACATCTCACACTTGTGGACCTTTTGCGGCTGGGAGGTGGGCTTGGCTCTCCGGAAGCGGCCGGCCTCGTGCGCCCACTCCTCGTGCGTGGTCTGGTGAATCTTCAGCCGGATGTTCTGCGAGAAACACTTGCTGCACTTTGGACACTGGTAAGGCTTCTCTCCGGAGTGAATCCTCTGGTGGACCTTCAGGTTGTACGATTTGGTGAAGCTCTTCTTGCACACATCACACACATGGCAGTTGTTGGTGGCCAGCACAGGTAAAGGGCAGGAGGGGTCTTGCTGGAGAAGCAGTTTCACCTCCTTCAGCCTGCGGTCCAGCCGGTTGTGATGCTCCTGGCGGTGCCGTTTCAGGGTCAGTTTGTCGGGAAAATGGCTGGTGCATTCTGGACATTTGTAAGGGTTTTCTTCGGTGTGTAACCGGCGGTGGGATTTCAGGTAGTCCCCTCGAGAGAAACCCTTACCGCAGTCCTGGCAGAGGAACGGCTTTTCCGCGGAGTGAACCCGCGCGTGGCTCCGTAGACGGTAACGGCTGGGAAAGGCTTTCTTGCACATCTTGCAGGGATATAACGAATCCGATCTTCGCAGATTAATATCATGATTCTTAAGGCGTTCGAGAACGACGGAAGCTGAATTCCTCTTCATTGAGAACTTCTTCTGGGATAGACCATCAACAACGTTCGTCAAAGAGACACCAACCAGCTGTCCACCTTTTTTCATCGGTCTGAGTACCTCATTAACACAAGCACTTGTCTTTGTTATCCTCCTTGACCTGCCATGAGTTCTGGCGCGGAGCTTTGATGGCGATATGTGTTCTTTCTTAATGGTCGGCGTATCATGGAAGTCCACCATCGCTGAGTCTTCAGAGTTCATGCAATCTGCAGGAAACAATTATTATCAGTAACTTACTACAGCTGGTCAGTTTCCGGCAGAATCACCCTAAATATATTCAGAGCAAATAATTTCCATCTACATTATGCGTGCCTTACAGGGGCCACGAGTGGTCAGCAAACATTTTTGGCTTAAAGTAGAACTGTATTCATAACCTGGAATATACTCTGTAACAAAGCTCTGTTCATATCGCAAGCAGTGTCAGTAATGTAGGTGAGATCCCGGCCGCTGAGAGCTGACAGGTCTACTTCCTCTAATAGGGTGATGAAGCAGCTTCCCCTCTCTAGGACTGGAAATGTGGTTGGTGTTCCTTACCTAGCTCTAGTTTAGGGGTCTCAAAGTACTGGCCCACGGGCCATCTGAAACCAAGACACAAGATTTTACGATGCCAGGTGTATTGGGGCAACCAAGGGGTCCTGGTGTTCCAACTTGAGTGCATGGAGGAGGCACAGGACACAGAGGGATGCTGGAATTCGGGGAGCAAGGAGGTGCCTGAAACACAGGGTGCAGATAAGTCTTGAAGGGCACAGGGGTTCTGTTTCAGGCAAATGTGTTGCTCGCTATCTCTCCTCACTCTCTCCCCTGGCTGTCTCTCCTCTCTCCTGGATCTCTCTCCTGGCTGTCTCTCCTCGCTCCCTCTCCTGGCTGTTTCTCCTTGCTCTCTCTCTCCTGGCTGTCTCCCCTTGATCTCTCCTCATTCTCTCTCCTGGCTGTCTCTCCTCTCTGCTGGCTGTCTCTCCTGGCTGTCTCTCCTTGCTCTCTCTCCTGGCTGTTTCTCCTTGCTCTCTCTCTCCTGGCTGTCTCCCCTTGATCTCTCCTCATTCTCTCTCCTGGCTGTCTCTCCTCTCTGCTGGCTGTCTCTCCTGGCTGTCTCTCCTTGCTCTCTCTCCTGGCTGATAGGGATGCACCGATACTAGTATCGGTGCCGATACTGAGTATTTGGGTGAGTACTCGTACTCGCCCAAATGCTCCGATACCTAGCACGAGTACTTCCTGTATCAGGAAGCCGGGCAGCGAATCATTACACGCTGCCCGGTTTCCTGATTGGCCAGGAAACGGCTCCATGCTCTCAAGTCACTTGTGATGAGAGAGCATGGAGCCGACTTCCCGGCCAATCAGGATGCCGGGTAGCGTGCAATGACGCGCTGCCCAGCTTCCCGATTGGTCAGGAAGCTAGAAAATCCGGAAGCCGGGCGCCGTGTAATGACGCAGCGCCCGGCATTCTGATTGGCCGGGAAGCCGGCGTCATGCTCCCTCGTCATCTCATGAATCCTAATATTAAGAAAGTGACCTTAAAGCATTAGTTTGTATTGCTTTAGAAAAAATTTGACCTGTCCCTTTAAGAAAAAGTATCGGTAATTGGTATCTGTGAGTACTTGATCAAAAGTATCGGTACTCGGTCTTTAAAAAGTGGTATCGGTGCATTCCTACTGGCTGCCTTTACTCGTTCTCTCCTATCTGTCTCTCCTCGCTCTCTCCCCTCACGTGACCCCCACGGAAGAAGAAAATGTGCCCAGTGTCCCCAGGTCATTTGAGTTTTCAGACCCCTGCTCTAGCTTGTCAATCAAGCAGGAAATGTCCAGGCCCCACCCACTCTGCACTTGTTGGACATGTCTCTGTTCCTCGCTCATCTGTGTCCCTTCTCTAATGAAAAACATTCATCTGTGTCCCCCTGGAGCTGAACACACTGATCTGTGCCTTCTCTAGTGGAGAGCTGTGTCCTGTCTCTTCCAGAGAGGGTTTAGCAGTGTCTTGCTTCTAGCATGCAAACGGGTTGGGTGTAATTTGCACAGGACAAGCCCAGTTGTCAATCTAGGCCGTTCCCAAAACTCGCCCCTTTGGGCAGATGTGACAAGTTCTCTATGGGAGATGCGGCAGGAAGCACATCTATATAAATGAATCTCCTCCCAGCATCAGTATTGGGATCCTGCAGCGGAGGCACAGAACGGGCCATGGGGTGGGACAGTTCTGGGAGCTAAGAGTCAGTTTCATGGTGAATATTTGTTATATGCAGAACGTTCATGGGAATTAATGCGACTTACAGGTGAAACTCGAATAATTAGAATATCGTGCAAAAGTAATTGCAGTAAGTGCTGCAAAAGGGGCCCAAACCAAGTACTGAGTACATATGCATGCTTGTACTTTTCAGAGGTCCGATATTGTTCTATGTACAATCCTTGTTTTATTGATTGCATGTAATATTCTACTTTTTTGAGGTTGTGGATTTGGGGTTCTTGGGGTTTTCATGAGCTGTAAGCCATAATCATCACAATTATGACAAATCACGGCTTGAATTATCTTGCTTTGCATGTAATGAGTCTCTCTCATATATTAGTTTCACTGCATAAGTTGCATTAGTGAAATAAATGAACTTTGCACGGTATTCTAATTATTCGAGTTTCACCTGTATATAAATAACGCACGGAGGGGAATTTATCAAAACTGGAGCAGACACAATCTGGCGCAGATTTGCACTGCAACCAATCCGCTTCTCTGTCTCATTTTCAAATCTTACCTGAGCAAACTGAAGAGAGATGCTGATTGGTTGCCGTGGGCAACTGCTCCAGATTCTGACTGCTCCAGTTTTGATAAATTCCCCCCTATGGTGCCTTTAGATGTAGATTAAAGTGGGTGAGTTCAAAAGTTGTCAATAAGTCACAACAATGAACACAACCTTGGCGGCAGCCATGTTTTTCTGGTGTTACTCACCTTCCACCCGCGGGTCGTCTTCCTCTTTCACGCGTATCAGCAGGAAGTCAGAGCTGTGAGTGGGGAATCCTGGGAATAAAATGACAGCTATGATGTAAATTGCAGAGCCAAACCGATGGAAAATGTCAGGCCCTAATAACATGGTGGGAGCAAGCTTGCTAAAAGAAAGGGTACCTGTCAATGGGTACATGCACCCCAAACTGGCTTGGAAAGAGGGGGGGGGGTGCAGCATCCAGTATGAGGCTGCAGTGCACACATCTGCATTGCTTAAAGGAGAACTATGAGGGGAGGCGTGCTTTTCACTCACCTCATAGTTCTAGCCGACCTGTGACAATGAGACTGTCACAGGTCGGCTCAGTAGATCGGGAGGTGAGCGAACACATACCGGCGTTCGCTCACCTCTCGATCCTGTCACGGCTCTCTGCCGTGACGGGGGAGGGGCTGGATTCCCCCCTCCCCGCTCCGATCCTCCAGCGCTGACTGGCGGAACGGACGGGGGAGGGGGCGGGTACAGCTGGCTCTGCCTCTAGATAGGCAGAGCCAGCTGTCACTCACGCAGCTGGGCGGATCTCGACATCGATGTCGGGATTCGTTTCAGTTGCGGCGTCTCAGTATATAGGGAGCTGTCGCTCGCAGTACACTGAGCTTAGGGTGACGGGAGGACACTAGTTTGTGTCCTCCCGTTACCCTAAGGAGAACTATGGGGTATGCATGTCTCTGCGCCCCATAATGCAATATGCATGCATGGCTATCAATGGGCACTGCAGGATGAGCTGTGGAAGCAAATGCTTGAACTCTGCCTTGAAGCAATGTTACAAATGTGTGTATTTTATGCGCCCCTGGTCCAGGGCCCTCTGGGGAAGAAGCCTACTGCTATCTCATGGTGACTTTTCAGTGTAGGAGATCATAAAGAAAAAAACACAACATGTCTGTCTGCTCTCTCTCTGTTCTCTGTGTGTCATTGGGAAGAATTCCCTTCCTGTCCCAGAGACACAACAGGAAGTGACAGGAAATCTCTCCAAACCGAGGGGCAATTCCCTCTTAGACAGTTGTCACCTAGACAGGCGTGCGCATTGGAAGATTTCCCATCACTTTCTGTTCCAATGACAATGGAGACCTCAAACAGATGCATCTCCCAGCAGGGACACCAACCCATCCATAAGACAAATACACAGTTTTGGCTTTAGATACACTTTGTCCAGTTGTGGACACGGGGTGTACTACACGCAGCCAAAATGGAGGTACATGAGGCGAGTATAGTATGCTCTGTCCTTCTGCCCCTCGCCCACGCGGACTTGCTGCCAATTCCTGGCTGTCAAAATGACAGCCGGGAGTTGCTGCGTATATACAGGAGCTGAGCTTCAAATTTCAGTTGCTCTGGTCCATCGGGGGGTGTACAGGGGGGAGAGTTGAAGTGGGTAAGGAGGATTTCTAGAAATAGTCACAATCCTCTCCTCAGTTGGGGGCCCTCTATGTCAGGGGGAGAATACAACCTCAGCTGTTGAAGGACTGCAAGTCCCATGAGAAGACTGTGGCAGCCACAGGCATGACTCGCAGAGGCAGATGCATCATGGGATTTGTAGTTTGGAGTGTCAAGGTTGCCTATCCTGCTCCTTGGCTCCATCTTGTGGTGGGAGTGTCGTGTGAATGTCATTCGCTCGGCTATACGCTGGGCAAACGCATTATAAATCAGCCCCTAAGCTGCCCTGTTGCGTTTGGAATTGAAATACATCAGGATGGTATGACTCACCCCCAACTTCAGACCCGGATTTCTCCTTCACGCATAGCGGGGTGCCACCGCCCAGCAGGAAGCTGGAGGTGAGGAATCCTGGGAAGAGAAAAGTGACAGCTGTTGGATAATGTGCACTGACGCTCCGCGGTACCCGCACTGTACTGACTGCGTCACCTACCCAGCGAGGACACCGCCTCATAGTTGTCCTTCATCACCGCCCGGTACAGGGTCTTCTGCCACTTCTCCAGCATCTGCCACTCCTCCTCCGAGAAATGCACCGCCACGTCCTCAAATGTGATCGGCCCCTGGAGGGGAGGGGGAAGGGAGACCATCGCTGACACGAGGGGGGCCGTATGGGTGACATACAATACAGGGCATATTATAGGGCCGCACATTAGAAGGTCACTCCAGCCAAAAATGGCTCATAGATGGAGACTGATGTGCCGGGTCACCCGCTGGGGGCTCCAGTGGCCCGCCATGAATCCTGACTTTGTTCTCGCCCAAGTTTTGGGGTGTTTGGCTTCCCAATGGGGGTGGAGATAATTCTACAAGAGGGATGGTGGAAGCCCCTCATAGTCCAACATCTACCAATCAGTGAGCTGTTTCCGGATGGAGAGAACCCTTTACATAGAATCCTGCTGGAGGTAAACTGCAAAGACATGGAATGCCGGTCATCCCAACTCTCCCGGACGTTCTGGGAGTCTCCCGGTATCAGATAGCAGCTCCCAGCCGCCCGGGAGAGAAACACTTTCTCCTGGAAAGGTTTACTCTGCTCGATCCAGCAGAGCAAAAAACTTTCCCTGCTGTCTGTTTTTTGTTTACTCTGATATCAGAGCCGCCGGCTGCCGTCAGAATAAAAAAAAAAACCCCCAAAAAAACCCCAGCATAGGAATGAATAGCTAGATTGCTATTGGCTATTTGAATTTGCAATAGCAGTCTAGCTATTGCACCCGCCCACTGCTACTGTATATCAGCAGAGGTGGACCTGAAGTTCTCCATCAGCTCCTCTCTCCGCTGATTGACGGCAGCACAGGGCGGGTGCAATAGGCAGCTTGTTATTGGCTATTGCAAATTGAAATAGCCAATTGCAATCTAGCTATTCATTCCTATGAGACCACCATAGACCCTGCACATTCCAACATAGATCTTGCACTGCCCACCTGAGTCCCTGCAATCCCCACCAGAGACCCCCCCCAGAGCCCACCATAGATATAAACAATATACTACAGTAATATGTATTACCATACTGGAGAGGAGCTCCGCCTGGTCCATAAACCCCCGACTCCAGGGACCCTGCAACACAACACACACCGTGTTATCAGAAGATGCCGGGAAGCTGTAGAGGACACAGAGCAGAGAGGATGCTGGGAGGTGTAGTTTATACAGAGCAGAGAGGATGCTGGGAGGTGTAGTTTATACAGAGCCGAGAGGATGCTGGGAGGTGTAGTTTATACAGAGCCGAGAGGATGCTGGGAGGTGTAGTTTATACAGAGCAGAGAGGATGCTGGGAGGTGTAGTTTATACAGAGCAGAGAGGATGCTGGGAGGTGTAGTTTATACAGAGCAGAGAGGATGCTGGGAGGTGTAGTGTATACACAGGGCCGGCCTTAGGCCTTTAGGCGCCCTGTGCGAGAAAGCTTTACAGCGCCCCTCAGTGGCCACACCCCCGTAACCACACCCATTTCCCCAATATCCGCACCATTTAAAGACTCCTATTTTGTTAACTAGAAAAAAATGGTACATGCATGAATCTATAACCGGCCTTTATAGCAGGGCGCACATTGGGAAGGCTTACAACAATACAAAACACAAAAATTCCCCAGCCTCAGCCTGCCAGCCAGCCTGCAACCAAACAAGTAGCCCTGTCAACAGTATGCGTTAAAATCAGAGGTTTATAGATTCATGCATGTACCATTTTTTTCTAGTTTGAATATTTTGGGTTAGGGGGACGCACTGGAGTCCCAGCGTGCATTTTTGGTTGCTGGGCCTCCAGTGCGTCCCTTCAGAGAGGAGAGGAACGTTACCACCAAGTAGCAGGCCCAGAATGGGGGAGCTGGACGTCTGAAGATGAATAAAGGTTAACAAAAAAAAAAATTGAGATGCACCAATACCATTTCATCCAGACCGAGTACTCGCCGATACCAATTACCGATACTTTTGTTCAGTGTCATGTGACAGTTTTTATAAAACAATACAGACTAATGGTTTTAAAACAGTGGTGGAGCGCCAGGACCCGGTCACAGCTGCAAGCGCTGCGACCCTGGTAGTTCTGCCACTGACTCCAAGCTGTAGAAGACTACAAATCCCAGCAATACATTATACTAGGGTTGTACCGATACTGGCCATTTTCACTCGCGAAAATGCCCCGATACTAAATGCTGATACTGGCCCTTATACTGGCCCTAAATTTTTTAACTGATTCAGCTTCCGTAAGGTCCCGCTCTAGCTGGGGAACCTGCGGCAGCCTTTTGGGGACGTGCAGAGGATCTCAAGAAGGGGGAGATGTGCGGAGGGTCTCAGGAGGGGGAGACGTGCGGAGGGTCTCAGTTAACCCCTTGATTGTCACCATGACACACTTCTAGCGGGTTCACATAAAGACACGAGACTGCTGGATCACATACAATGAAATACACATCAGCCAAACATTTATCATTGTATATGCAAAGAAGGAATTCGTGCTGTGTGAGAGAAGTAAACCCAGGCAGACAGCCACTCACTGCATGCACCACCCTAACTCATGCATGGACATTCACAGGGAAGCAAAGCAGGCTGATACAACATGCAAAGACAGAGAAGAGTCTGCACTGACTGTCTGCAGAGCCACAACTCAACTGGCATGACATGGGGCAACCCTGGCCGAAAGCATGATGGGCGTTATACCTGAGGTGACGTCACTCCTGCGCACTGTGCTGGCTGGGCACTGCAAGAATCTATGCAGAGGGTACGGACGGAAGTGACGTCAGGTCTGCAGGAAAATGGCCGCGGAGACATTTCCCGTCATCACGCTTCGACCTCTATTGTCCGGAGATCTAACTCTGAGCGTGCGTAGTACGAGAATGCCGAAGGGAGCGTAAAACCAACGGGACTGATCTACGCATGCGCAGCAGAGATGTACGCCTTTGTATCTGCGCATGTGCGGAGCCGGTTGTGAGGCTCCTTTGATATTTTCTCACAACCTGAGTGGGGAGATCATCGGTAGCCCCGACGCCCCGCCCACACGGGTAGGTCACGTGCCCTGGCAGTGGTGCCAGGGAGACGGCTGGTGAGGAGGCTGTTCCCCCTGGTGACCCACCCCCAAGGTACACAGTACTGCCTGGGAGATAATATATTGGGGTTGTGACACCGACAGGGGAGACACTGGGAATACAAAACTGATCTGTGACAATTAGACCTTCGCAGGATAATTTATTGCTGTGCTGGGTGCCCCCATGTTCTGCGCTGCAAGCTGCAGCAGTCGCTCTTCGGTATATGGCACTGGAGCTGTTCCGCGGGGGCGGGCTTAATCTAAGGCTGTGGGCCGGCTCTTGGGAGGAGTTCTACAATTATTAAAAGGAATTGATGACTGGATGATTTTACACTGACACTTGTCTCACTCTGTGCTTGGGTGGCGCCAGCAGCAGATCGGAGGGGGAAGGGCCAGAGAGAAGCCTGCGGGGTCAGAAATTCAGTATGAACGCCTCCCAGCGGGTAGGTTCCCTAATGCGATCATGTGATCTTCCAGAGGAAGGCGAAAAAAATGCTACAATGGGCATCTCCTGTATCATGTCTGCAGTCTCTGACCATCTCCTG